AAGCAGCGAGCAATCAGCTCCCAGTCCAGTCCAGAAGAGCAGAATGTGGAACTGGTCAGACTGGAATGAATCAGGACAAACATCAGCAGTGAGCAACATGAGGAAGGAAATCTGCTCTGATTGATTCAAACACATGTTACTGTTACATTTCTCATTATGAAGCTGAATGTGACAGTTTCTCTTGATACTGATTTGAGATCAGATTGTCCAGCCCTGTTTGAATACTGACAACTACGTACTTTAGCTCAGATAAATGTCTTTGTTTCAAATGGAGAATCAAAGCCTTTGTGACATGGAGAAGAGTCATGGACAGTTAGAGATCCTCATCTCACCTCTGAGCTGTGGTCCTTGTGTCATGTTCACCACACAGAGTGCTTTTAGAGGGAGGGACTCCCTCCTCTCTGTCCTCACACTGATTCATAGCAGAGCCCACACCTCCACACAGACACAATAACATGCTCATTCATTACAGCAAGCGTTACATCACAGAGACACATTAGTTCTCATTGCTCTCAGTAACATGACACAAATATTCAGAGCTGACAGAAATCTTGTTGGAGCCATAAACAGGCTCTGATAACATCAAAACCTCTTACACAGCCCCCAGATTCACACATAAAGTATGTTGACCACAAAATATACTTTACACATTTATGGGTCACAAGAGAAAATCAAGGTCTGTGTCTTTAAGTGACGGCAGCAGGGAGGAGCTAGGTGGTGCTGTAGCTCCCCCTATAATAGCCATAGCACCCGCCCAGCACCCAGAAGAAATGTCTCTGATTTTAACTTAATGTCATGTTTGAATAGTCTTTTTCGTGTTGTTTAAAAATGTGAATTAAAATAATAATTAAAAATATATATTTTAGTCTAAATAAACATGAGGAGCACACATGTGATCTTAATTGGCCAATGGTCGCAGCGTCCGGTGAACCTTTGACCTTAATGTATGGCAGCTTGTTATTGATAGCGAGTTTGGAAATTTAGCAGAGTAAAATACACCAAAATGGATCGTTTTTTGCTCCCTAAACGTTCACGTTCTGAGTCACAACCTGAAGGGAAACAAGACTGTGAAGTTCTATGGTAAGTGCATGATTTTCCCCTCTGTTGGCTTTTACAAACTTAATTAAGTTGGTGGTTGAAGCACAAATCTGGGCTCTTCATAGTTACATCTATGATGCTCCAACAATAGGAACACTGCTGATTCATCATTAGACTAGTGTTGGTAACTGGCTGTGTGATTTCGTGATCTGAGCATTTTAGGCCGAAGCGTGCACGGTGTCTGTTGCCTTCTGTTGCTGCTGTTTGCTGCTCTGTTGTATTCAGGGCTCGACTGTGACTGAATTGTGTGAAATATTATTTTCATAGGTTTACATTGGCAGGGTTATGTATTTTGTATCTATAGCCATTGTGTTGAATACTTTTACATATATATGCTTATTAGTCGTGGAACGAGTATAGTCAATGCGCGTGTGTACGTATATATATATATATATATATACCAAGGGTGGTCCGATGCAACCTCCATAATGAAACACCCCAAGCCGCCACTGGTGTCTCTTTACATCTTATAATCCTATATTTAATGACAAAAATTTAACAGAGAGACAGAACAGTTCACATTTTCTACGCTTTGGAGTGCCCTGTTAGCTGAGGGGTCCTAAGCAACCTCTTAGTCCCCTTAGACCCTTGGCTGGCTCTGGTCCATCTAGAAAGGACTCTGGGACAGTTGAGACCTGGACTGTGCTAAAGGGTCTTCAGTGAAACCAGCTCAGTGTCAGTGTTAGAAGGTTTCTGTATGTGAGCTCTCAACTCTTCATCCATGCTCTTCCCTTCAGAGTATTAACAGTTAAAAATCAACCTCAGCCAAGGTGCTTCGAGCTGTCAGACCAGTTCAGACACATTGTTCACTGATGATGTGAGCTCAGGTTACAATCAAACTGCGTCTGATTCTGCTTAACAAACACTAACAACATTACATGTAAATCTTTCTAAAAGCATCGTCCTTTAACTCAGAGAGAAATTCAAGTACAGAAAGCAAGTTTCAAAGATATATTCTGAAACAGCTCATCAGCATATGGAAACATTTCTACTGTCCAGATAAACAGAGATACAGCACAATGTGATCAAAGTCATCCTGATGATCAAACATTTACACATTTCTCTGGTAGGATTCTCACCTGCTGAACTCACTTCAGGTCGACTTACAGACACTTTCCACCTTCACGTGTGGAGGAAACACTGGGAGAGAAGAAGCAGCTCCTTTCTTCCTCGTCAGTCCTGGTGTCTGTGTGCATTTTATCTGAGGACACCATCATACCCTCAAAACTTCACGGTCCAAGTCTAACAAACACCAGAGTGACGTCAGAACCAGTTAAACAAGAATCAGATTGCACTCTCTGTTGGGGATATGTTTGTATTGTTTCAGATCCATTTTTCATTATAGTTGATGAAGGCTGCAAGAACAAAAGTGCTTTAAACCTCTGAATACATTGTTGGCATTGAAATAGAGTTGCACCTTTCCTCTATCTACAGTCAGTGTCAGAGAAATCACTGATCAGATATGTAGTTCCATTATCTGTCCATTAGATGGTGCTAATTAATCATACAGTGAGCTAAAGATCAGAACTATGTGATGCGGAGCATACATTTGTATCACATGTTTAACATTATTACATATTTAGGAAAGGTTCAGTGTGTAAAATTGAGTGGCATCTAACAGTGTTGTTGCAGATTGCACCTCACTAGCTTCCCTCTCTAATTCCAAACACGAGGGAGAAAGAACAGTGGCTGCAAAATGCCCACCATTGGAATCAAGATTTGTCCTTTCTGGGCTACCGTAGAAACATGGAAGGAGTCCCGCTCCCTCTGTAGATAAGAACTGCTAATTTTAAGGAACTAAAAACACAATGTTCAGGTATTTATACACTAATAAAAACATACCTATGAATAATATATTCCATTTCTGACAATAAATCATTCGCAGTGTTACACAGTGGATCTTCACAAATGACAGAAAAATCTTATTTATCAATATTCTTCTACAGTGACTTCAAGTCTCAAAATCCATCCATGTGACGTCAGAACCAGTTTAACCTGTGGCAGAAACCCAGTCAGTGTCAGAGAAATCACTCACATCAAAGGATGTAGTTCTACTATCTGTCCACTAGATGGTGCTAACTGACCATCTCATTAAATAAAGATCAGCAGAGCATCATTGCTGCTGGCAATTATTTCTGACTATCAACAGGACTCTACAGGTCAGAGTGAACCAGACATTAGGCTCATTCGAGATGAACTGCAGCTGTAAAGAGGACAAGATGAGGCAACAGCAGCAGGAGGTGGTGACAAAAAGCTGCAGTCAAGTCGGGCAGTTTTCAGCATCCCTCAAATAACATAGATAAAGTTAAAAAAAAACAGTACATCGTGTTAATTCCACCTGTAGTTTTTAGACAATTGCTTGGACATTGTTTCATATTCTCAGTGGCTCTAAAAACTACAGCCACCTCATACATGATGTCAGAGCAGTTTAGCATCATTAATGGTAAGGTATTATATATATCCGTACGGAATAAAGTCTGTTTTTGTTCCACTGTGAACGGTTACAATCCAGATATATGTTAAATATGTATTGGATGAATTAATTTCAATGGGAACAAAATTTCTGTTTATCAGTATGATGTTACATTAATGATTGAAGGGGTTTAATTTAATAACATATTTTAAGAGATATTGAAATCAGTTGAGGGATATTGAGACCATACTCACCACATATTGTTGGACACACTGACTAAATGCACAACTAAATGCAATCATGACAGCAATACAGTGATTTATTGTTTCATCTCTGGACTGGTTGCAGTAATGGTAAATGGACCTGTACTTGTATAGCGCCTTTCTAGTCTTCCGACCACTCAAAGCACTTTTACACTACGTGCCACATTCACCCTTTCACACACATTCACTCAGTGATGGCAAAACCCATCGACCAGAAACTAACGCAACCAACAACCTTCCGATTAGGGGTTGACCCGCTCTGCCTCGGCGCCACCAACTGGACTTGAGACTAATTGAACATTACTTTTTATTGCACTGTTATATCCTGTCTGGGTCTGGTGTCCTTCTGATTGTGTAATGTATTGTGCTGTGTGTGTTGTCTCTTCTATTTGTATTTTATCTATTTATTTGCTGTCTCTTCTATTTGTATTTTATCTATTTATTTGCTGTCTATTCTATTTGTATTTTTTCGAATTATTTATTAGGGACTACTGATGCAAATTAGCAGCTTTGCTATAATCCGGCATGTTTACAGAGATGTTTAAATATCGATGTTCATTAATGTGCACTGTCCCTATCCAAAAATAAAGCATTTATTATTATTATAATTATTTGTCCCTCAGCACTTTGTTATTCCTTTAATTCAGCTTATATGAAATAAGGAAATAAGAAATAAGACTTAATCTAGTACAGGATCTGATTCTTAGTGGTTTAAAAACATGCTGTGGTACAACACAACCCAGCAGACCAGAACAGAGCTACATGAAGGTGTTTAAGACCAGTTTAGAATTTATTTTGACCTTTTTGGAGTTGTACAAGCATAAATATACGTTTGCACTGAACTTAAATGATAACAGATTCTTTTGTTTCTTCTGACTTCCTGTCTCCTCACAGTGGCCCTCACAGAGCAGCTGCTGTCTTTAACATGTATAACCTGACTATGTTGTGATTGTAAACTTTATCTGCAGCTCAGCAGCTTGGTAATCAATAATATTTCTATTTATCCATCTTCTCCTTCTCTCTCCCCTTCACTGACTGACAACATGAAGTTTTGCTGTGTATGTGTTAACGTCAGAAAGTAATAAAATGTAGCATTATTAATTAATTTGAAGTGAAAAACAAATACACTAATATAGCTCTGATGCAGCCTCTCGCAGTCTCCCTCAATGTCCCACCTACAACACTATCTGACGGGCAACACATTACAAATGATAGTAGAGTCATAATTCTTTTGAGATAAGTAAAAAGGTAAAGCTTTATTTATATAGCACCTTTTTGACACAGAGATCCAAAGTGCTTTACAAACAACAAATATGGATATAACCATACCCCATCACACAAACATAGGGATCATGTAAATACAAACATAAGGAAGATAAAACAAGGGGGAAGGATGAATTAAATGAGAGACGACAGATGAGAAACAAACAAGGAGATCTATAAAAGGCTTGCCTATAGAGCAGCCGCTTAAAACAGTCCACATGCGTAGATCTTATCCAGACGAACAAAAAATTAAATGAGGGATTTGCCATTATGAATTGGCGCTATACAAATAGAATAGAATAGAGTTGAATTGAATTAATGCCAACATGTCAGTTTGATCACTTTTATATTTGTTGAATGATTCTTTATGGAATGATTGATTTCCTCACTACAGCTGCTCCACAAGTTCACCTCTTTAACACAAGGGATTTCTGACATCAGTCCTTAAAGCTGCAGATTCCTCTCAAATCATTTCAACTTTCTGTCATTTCAAACAACTTTTGGACTCTTTCAGCTCGTCATTAGTTTCTGACTTTATACCTGATCTGTGCTGTTCATTGAACAAACAGCTGAGTTGGTTCTTGATCAGTAGTTTGGTTTACTCTTCTTATGTCTCTCTGTTCAAATGTAAAAATCTGATTAGTGTTTGTTTTATATGAGTTTCCCCAAACGAGCACACAGTCAGTGATGTATGGAAGTATGAGTGAACAATACAAAGTGGAGAATGAAGCTGGATTTAACTAATCCTTCATTTTATACAGTGTTGGATCCATTTGGACAGTTTTGCTTTGACATCATTTAGATGTGGTTTCCAGCATCATTTATTATCTAGAATCATCCCAAAACTTTGATTTCTTTTGATTTCAACCGGACTTATCAAAGTTTGTACATTTGTTCCACGATGACCAAAGATGATGAATTTAGTTCAAATCAAAGCCACTCTTTACACCTTGGAACTATTTTTACACAGATGCTGAATTTGATCCTGAAAGACTCTTGTTTGACATTTGAACACATTTTTTCTTCACAGAAACAAAAGTTTTAAGGCAACAAAGTTCAGTTTTAGACTCAAAGTTGAATATTTGTTCACACTTTAATATTTGAGTCATAAAAACACTTTCCCTCTAACTGTGCTTTCAAAAAGAAGATTTGAAAAACAAGCAGCCACATTTGATCCTAAAAATGTTCATTTTTCTCAGAGTTATAGAAGAAGATCAATTCTTTCTATCATTTCTTTCATCTCTACGTCTGCAGGCTGCACATTACCCTCACACATGATCCCTTCATCCCAGCATCCTTTGCTCTTCTCTTCCTTCAGCCTCCTCTTCCTCCTCTATTACAGTAAACACATCAGGTTGGTACTAACTAACATCAGCTGTGTGTGATCCTGTACAGACTGAACTATCTGGTCAGCAGTGAGAAAGTTTCTCTCTCCCTCCTACAGAGGACACAGAGACACTGAGGAACCAGACCGGGACCAGAACAACCCGAACCCAGGATGAAGAGGTTCAGTGCATGTGGTGTTGAAGGTGTGGAGGTGGATCAGTGTGTCAGAGGAGACTGTGTAGAAGGACAGAGTGCCAGCAGGACAGTCCACATACACTGCTACTCTACGGGAGGAGGAGGAGGAGGAGGAGGAGGAGGAGGAGGAGGAGGAGGAGGAGGAGGAGGAGGAGGAGGAGGAGATTGGTGTTTTTCTGTTATTGTGCCAGAAACAGTATTCACCACCAGAGCAGCACAGACTCCAGGACTGATCATTCCATCCAAACACACAGTCTCTACTGTTTCCTCTCCTGCTGATTCCTCTGTAACTCACTGATATATAAACTCCTCCTCTCCACTCGACCTCCCAGTAACAGCGACCAGTCAGACCATTTCTACACAGCAGCTGAGGACAGAAGTTAAATCTGTCTGGATGATCAGGATATGACTGATCCTCCTCCACATGAATCATCTTCCTGTTGTTGTCAGACAGTTTGATCTTTCTGTTCACTGTGTTTGTGTCGACTGTGAGTTCACAGGAATCTGATGGAGAGAACAAGACACAATACAGCTGCAGTTATTGATCTATCATCTGATCATTGATTGACACTGTGATGATGACATCAGAGCTGTGAATGAGTGATGTCACAGTGTGAAGATGGTTGAATGTGTGCTGCTTTGTTTTCACACTTACACTTCCTCAGACCTGGTCTCAACCATCGGACTCCAGCAGGCTCCACCCTGAAAGGAGGAGGGGGGTCAGAGCAGCATGGAAACATGGACATTACATCGCTCTCATACACAGAGGTTATTCTCTACAAATGGACTTACATCTTCACATGGAGCACTTATTATTAATCAGCTGATAGTCTTTCAGTTCACTGGAGCTGCTTCTGATTGGCCGATGGCTACAGCTCATTATTTTCACTTATTGATGATCTATTATTATTATCAGTATTATATTTGGAACAGAATGTTTACATTGATTACCTTTAAACAGTTTAACATGGAGGTGAATTGGTAAGAGCCGACTAAATATAATATTTCTAATCTGCTAATGCTAGTTAGCATACATTATGAAAGTCCAACTATTATTTGTAGTTAATAAGTTTGATTTTAATATCTGAATTTATGAGGGAAACTGTTTCAAGATGACTGTAGTTGCCTAAAATAGCCGCTAGAGGGCGCACTATGGATGTGATATGTAGTAAATCCAGTAGACGTGAGCGTTGCATGCTGGGATCAAAAACACCTCAGCTAAGCCCGATGCTAACAACTCACGAGTGAAGTTAGTTAATTCCATTTTATGGAAGAAATATTGTTGTTCTCATGTTTATGAGTCTGTACTGGAGCCGAAGTTGTTGCCAGACCGCTGCGACCGGAGGATTTGCTTTCTTTTGTTTATATGATTGAGGACTCTGGAGAGTGTACTAGTTAGCATGCTACGTTGCTAGCAGACATGTAATTGTTCTGTGTGGTTATGATTAAGCAATTTTCTTATCAACAAAAACCAATTGGACTGTAAATGTTATGGAGACACTGAAATGAGTTAATATGCTGAGTTGTGTTTTAGAAATGCATTTATTTTTAGTGTAATGCTAATGTTTACATTTCTGGGCGCCATGTTCAGTGTTAAAGTCAGAGTTAAAAATATGCTATATGTGGGCTAATGCTCATGATTTGTATACATATGGGTTTTTCCTGATATAAATAATGTGTTTCAGTTCATGTTGAGATGATTAAAAATACATAAGGGTGAATATGAATGAGAGACATGATTGATTAGAGATAAGAGATAAGTTGTGTAACATGATTTATTAATACGGGTAAAAAGGAAACAAAACACAATGATGTCTAAGCTTTTAAGGTCTCAGGATATAGTTCATCATTGCTTTTGTTATAAGTTACACTTGAGTTAAAGAGAGATATGATACTGTACAGTAATTGATGAGAGATAATTGGTTTTTTGAGTTGCTGGATCTACATTCTGGGTTTCCTGTGGGATGCGAGGCAGGGTTAGAGAGTATCTGGAATTCTCCATCTTCATCATCTTCCTGAAGATAAGATCTGAGCAAGCGTACAAACAAACACACACATTCTACCCGGGTAGCACATACACATTGAATACACTTGGACGGACATGGATACACACTAAGCTTTTGGACTGGACTTTGACCAACATTGATATCAGACAGCAATAAGCTGTAAAGAAACACTTTCACTTTCAGTTCTTTTATTTCTTTTATATATTGGAATGAATCTGAACTGTGATTCTACTTTTTGTTGATTGTGAAATTGTGTTTACCTTTTTACATTATTATTATTTACATTTACTCACTCCTTGAGTTGAACCTGAGTGCAGTAGTTACTTCTGTTATGAATTGGTGACATTGAACTGAATTGTTGTTTAGGTGACGCCTTTAGTTTTTCTGTTCTGTTGCCTGGATTGCTGTGTTTTTATGTAACCACAAGATGGCGCCTCAATTAGTAAAGCAAACACAGGTAACAATACAGGTGACACAGATGATGAGCTGATGACTGATAAATGTTATTCTATAGGATGAGTTAAGAGCAGTTGAATTTTGCTACTCTAATCTAACTCTAATTTGTACCCCGGGGCCGCTGGAAGTCATTTTGAACAGGGGGGTGCTGTGAAAAACTTGTTTGGTATTTTTGGACAAAAAACCTATGAGCCTATAGGCCTATTTAAAATACATTTTAAAAATAAATAAATAGATTGAGATTCACTACTTTATTGTCATATACACTTCAGTGCACACAGCCAGGGTCTGTAACACACAGACATCATCAGTTCTCAGATGAATATATGCGCTATTAATTAAACTTCACAATAACGCTATAACAATGCAATAGATTTGTTCAGCTGGCATGAACCTGAGTCACTGCACCATCTACGTTTATGTCACACGCGACTCTATTAGCTCCAAAATCCTTTTACACAAACCACAAGGAAATAATCTGACTATTTAAACGTTATTGAACAGTTCTCCACATCCATTACGCAAAGAACACACGATCAAAATAACTCTCCATCTCCATCCCCACCACCTTGCAAAAATACTATAGTGTGACGTTAAACTGCATGAATAGATATGAAAGTGCGCAGCGGCACCATGCTCTCACTTTGAGCTACAGACAGGGTGCCCTGGTTACAGGTGTCCAAATGTCGAGGTGCGCTCTGGGGTCGTGGAGATAAAGTCTCTCATGAGGGGACGAATGTCCAGGGAGTTCAGAATGTCTGTGTGGGCATGCATCAGCGAAAGGTGTGTGAGTCTTTTCTGGGTCATGGTGCTGCCTACCCTTCAAAAGACGCAAGCAAAGAAAGAGCGCTCGGATGAGGCCACGGAGATGGGTAGGCACAGACATAACTCCATCAGTTTTTCTGTCTCTGAAAACATGGCTCTTGTTTGTGGCTGGAGCTTTGTCAAACATGATACTACATCTTGGACTGTGACACACTTAGACCCTCTGTCTTTTGTGACATCGGCAAGCTGCTTGAGAACCTCTTTACTCGACGACCACGAGCCTGACTGACATTGACAACGTAACTTCCGTGAACCTGTGTTGATTAGGCCTCAGAATAATTAAATTAAAATCCAAAATACATGTAATAGCCTACGTGTGTCAAGATCATTTCCCCAAATATTCATAAGGAATTTATAAATTGCTAAATATTTTTAATACATTTTTAAAATCTCCCTCTCGCCACTAGGGGTGCTGCAGCACCCCTACTTCCCGCGGCCATGTTGTACCCTATCCTGAACATAATTACTGATCGAAAATAGACATGTTAAAATAACCAGAGATACTTGAGGACTGTGATAGGTGGAAATTGAATAAAAAAATATTATTTTTACCAGCATAGACACCTTTATTTGACAGTTACGAGACAGGAAGTCATGTGAGAGGGAGAGAGAGAGAGAGAGAGAGAGAGAGAGAGAGAGAGAGGGGATGTGACATGCAGCAAAGGACCGGGATTCGATACGGTCGGCTGCATACGTATACGCATTAAACTTCGCTATGCCATGGCCACCCCACACTAGCTTTGTGTCCCATCTTGGCCACCCCAGTAAAAATGTCCTGCATACGCCACTGCACACGAGGCTAATGCTATGTCTCTCTCTCTCTCTCTCTCTCTCTCTTACGTCTCCGTTTCTCTTTTTAATCCTCTCAGAATCCGGTAGGTTTCCTCATACTCATCCATAATAGACCCTGATGGACAATGACAGGTTGACACCTGAATACTCAAATAAACAATAAAACATACGGCAGGAGGTGTTCAAGGACTGCTCAGAACACAGGAAAATTCAATATCTTCTAAAAAACATAGCAAATATACATTTCCCTGCATTAAACACAACTGATCTCACATCAGTAGTAATTTAGAATAGAATTTAAAATCCTCCTCCTCACCTATAAAGCTCTTCATGGTCAGGCCCCTTCATATCTTAAAGAGCTCATAGTACCCTATTACCCCACTAGAACACTACGTTCTCTGAATGCTGGGCTACTTGTGGTTCCTATAGTCTCTAAAAGTAGAACAGGAGCCAGAGCCTTCAGTTACCAAGCTCCTCTCCTGTGGAACCAGCTTCCAGTTGTGGTTCTGGAGGCAGACACCCTCACCACATTCAAGAGTAGGCTTAAGACATTCCTCTTTGATAAAGCTTATAGTTAGGGCTGGATCAGGTGAGTCCTGAACCATCCCTTAGTTATGCTGCTATAGGCCTAGACTATCGGGGGATTTCCCATGGTGCACTGAGCTCCTCTCTTCCTCTCTCTTTCTGCACTCATTCATGTTCCATTAATGCATGTTACTAACTTCACTTCTTCCCCGGAGTTCTTGTGCTTTCTCGTCTCGCAGGTTCTCATTGATCCTGGTGGAGCCTCAATTTTACTGACATCATTATTAATATGAACATTATTATAGTTACTATTATTATTCTCTCTGTTGGGTCTCTGTAAATAATGTTATAAGGAGTTCGGTCTAGACCTGCTCTCTTTGAAAACTGTCCTGAGATAACTTCTGTTATGAATTTGTGACATACAAATAAAACTGAACTGAACTGAACTGAATTGTAGTTTAGGTGACGCCTTTAGTTTTTCTGAATTAAAAGGTAACACACGCTGATGGCAGATGACATCCATCAAAATATCCCAAACTATTTATGATATGATCCCACAAACCTGCAGCGTGACAACATTAACAAATATCAACCCGCCATGATGCTCACCAACCCATCAGGATAAACCACTGTCCTATTTTCCAATGTTGAAACAAGACATCGGTCCAGAAAAACAGAAATGTCATCACCTTTCCTCTGTCACCTGACTACTACTACTGTATTGATCCGCCTCATACCTGAGAGTGTCCAGTCTCCAGTGTGGATCCTCCAGTCCAGCAGACAGCTTTGTTGCTGAGTCTCCTGGATGATTGTAGCTCAGGTCCAGCTCTCTCAGATGGGAGGGGTTGGAGCTCAGAGCTGAGACCAGAGAAGCACAACCTTCCTCTGTGATCAGACAGCCTGACAGCCTGCAAACACACAGAACAACATGTAGTCCGGTGTAAAAGTACAGGGGTTAAAACAAGTTAATTTGTAATATAAATAATTGTTTCAGTGAATGAATTAAATAATTCAGTAATGCAAATAAACTGAAAGTAATTTAGGTTAAAAGCAGTGAAAGATGAAATGTTAACCGATAGATTAACATAAATTCATAATAAATAAAGTAGAGTGTAAATAGTTAATTAAGTAGTTACATTAAACTGTTCTGTATAGTAGCTGAAGAAAAGTGTGTGGTAAACTAAACATGAATATTCAGATTTGTGTCATTGGTTCATGCTGTTTCATTTGATTGGTTGCTGTAGTTATCACTCAGTGTCACCTGTTGGTAATTGGCCATAGGTAAGTATTGAGCGAAAAAGGGGCGGGAGAATCGAGCCAAGAGGACGCCATTGCTGAGCGGGAAGGACTGTTTCGCTCTTCCTGAGGAGGACTTTACTTCTGCTGCCGTTGGCTTTCATCTCCATCTCTTCATTAACTGTTTCTCCAGGACTTATTCCAGACCGTGAGTTGGATTTTCTTTGTGACTGTTAATTGTCACTGAGGATAAGGATTTGCCTGCCGCACCGCACCGAGCAACACACAGGCCTTTTTTTGTTTTTGTGTGCGTGTGAGAGTGTGTGTGTGTGTGTGTGTGTGTGTGGGCCCACTATTTTGATTAGTTAAGTAGCATATTTGATCTGAGTTTTATAAGTATAGAGAAATCGTATTAAGGGGTATTAAGATAACTGGAAGCCTTTTTTGGGGAAAACTGATTAGGAGAGACGGCATCCATCCCACTTTGGACGGAGCGGCTCTCTTATCTAGAAATATGGAGAAGTTTATTTCTAAAACCTGACAGTCCAGAGTTGGGACCAGGAAGCAGAGCTGCTGTCTTACACACTTCTCTGCTCTTTCATTAGAACAGCCACCCACCCAAAACCCCATAGAGACTGTGTCTGTCCCCCGACCACCTAAATTATTTAAAGAAATAAAAACAAGAGGAGTTCAACATAAAAATCTAATAAAAATTAAAACTAACTCCTCAGTAGCACAAAATAAGAGAATGAAATGTGGACTGTTAAATATCAGGTCTCTGTCCTCTAAAGCTGTTTTAGTGAATGAATTAATATCAGATTATGATATTGATTTACTTTGTCTTACTGAGACACGAGGAGTATGTTAGCCTAAATGAATCCACCCCCCCCAGTCATATTAATACTCACATTCCTCGAGGGACTGGCCGAGGAGGTGGAGTGGCAGCCATATATGATTCGAGCGTTTTAATGGACCCTAAACCTAAACTAAATTATAATTCATTTGAAAGCCTTGTTCTTAGTCTTTCTCACCCAAACTGGAAAACACTGCAGCCAGTTCTATTTGTTATAGTGTCCTGGACCGTACTCTGATTTTATATCTGTTATTTCATTTTTGTTTATCTGTTAACTAACAAAGTAAATATTATTTGTGTTAAACTGGAAAACAACTGGTTAGTTAACTATTATTTCATTTATTTGAAAGAGTTGTCTGGGGTCAGTTATTTAAAATAGTGTAGAGTACATATTAATAGAGCCACTGCTTAGTCTAACAAAGTTGTTGGTTATTCAGTCCTTCCAGAAAAATGCAGAGTTCTTTTGTGATTGGTGCGGGCAAAAATCCTTCATTATGCGGCACGTTTTTTTTAAAAATGCGATGGATATTTATGCAATTTTATGCGATGAAATAAACTTGCAAAAATTGCGGGAACTTGCAAAAACTGTTTTTTGAAAAAAAAGGGATTCCCCCAACACCCTGTTCTCACTCGGCTACTACCTTAATGTAAAGAGTCATTTCTTATTACTTCCTATGATAAGCAAGCATACTACATCACAGAAAGTGCTGGGAATATTTAAGTTCTCATCTTGTTTTATTTCAGACCTTAATAAACACATGGCTCAAACTTACAAAACATTGATGAGTCAAACAAGTTCTGTAGCTTTACAAAAAGGAATATGCTACAACTTCTGTAAAAATGAATAAATAAAATATAAAAAAATAAAATGTGTGCTTCCTGTTTTACAGAGGTAGCTATACAAAACAGACATCTTCTGTTAAACTAAGTTTTTCCAATGCACAAAGTGCAATCTCTTACTGTAACGTAAATTTACATACTACTAATAAACTTACAACTGTAAGGTTTTTTAACTAATATGATTTAACCCACTGGTAACAAAAAAGTGCAATCTTGTATTTTTGTTGGCAAATGAGACGGATTTGTGGGCTTCATCATGGCTTCATCGCGGGGTTTGCAGCTTTTCGATGATGTTCACGTTGCGTAATTATGTCACTTCATAACGTTCCCATGGCAACAGGGGAAAATGGCTGCTCTTGTGTGAAGTAAACGCAACATTTTTCAACTTTCTGCTAAGATATATGTGACTTTTTTGCAACAAAAATGCAGGGATTATGAAATCATGCAAGCCCCGCATATTTTGCGCGGAAATCTGCAATTTATGGGGCGAAAGTGCGGTGTGTTTGAAAAAATGCGGCCCCGCATAAATATGCGGACTTTGGCTGATTATGCATTAAATTATGTGATCGCATAATCAAGTTTTTCTGGAAGGACTGGTTATTCATAAAGTATTAGGCCATAAAAAGTTTCACACAAAACAGGTAAACCTTTGTGGTAGCTACCTTAATAAATCGAACCCCAACACCCCATCATTCAAGTCCAAGGTGAATTGCTTTAACTTAAGAATTTACTGAGTGTTGGGGTGCTACAAACACATTACATAATAAACATGTTCAAGGAAAGAGACTCAAACTAAATGAACAAAACAATGTTAGGAAGATTACAATTGTATCCATCAACATAATTCAGGTTTAAAGTGGTTATTAGTTGAACAGGTTGATGAATCCTGACCTGAGAGTTTCCAGTTTACAGTGTGGACTCTTCAGTCCAACAGAAAGAAGCTTCAGTCCTGAATCCTGCAGGTTGTTGTTACTCAGGTCCAGCTCTCTCAGACTAGAGGACTGGGAGCTGAGAACTGAGGACAGAGCTTCACAGCTTCTCTCTGAGAGGTTACAGTCACTCAGTCTGTAGAGACAATGATCAACAATAAGAAAAATAACATTTGTGACCAGCACTTTATCACTCAGCCAAAACCAAAAACATTTTAATCTATTAGTTCTGTAAAAATGATATCAGCTAGTGACTAATGTTGGTGATATATAATGTCTTTATAATCTCTCTAAGTCGAAAAGATAGCAGAATATTTAAGTGATTATACAGAAATCCAACTCTGTCTGTACTTACAGAGCTTTGTTGGAGGCTTTGACCACTGGCAGCAGCCTCAGAAGAGCCTCCTCTGAAGCAGAGTATTTCTTCAGGTCAAACACGTCCAGATCTTTTTCTGATGACAGTAAGATGAAGACCAGAGCTGACCACTGAGCAGGAGACAGTTTATCTGTGGAGAGACTTCCTGAACTCAGGGACTGTTGTATCTCCTCCACTAGAGAACGATCATTCAGTTCATTCAGACAGTGGAACAGATTGATGCTTCTCTCTGCAGAGATATTCTCACTGATCTTCTTCTTGATGTACTGGACTGTTTCCTGATTGGTGTCTGAGCTACTTCCTGTCTGTGTCAGCAGACCTCGTAGGAGATTCTGATTGGTCGGCAGTGAAAGACCCAGGAGGAAGCGGAGAAATAAGTCCAGGTGTCCTTGTTGATTCTCTAAGGCCTTGTCCACAGCACTCTGGTGGAGATATTTTAGATTCCCTTTGTCTTTAATTAATTTAGACCACCAGGATGTTGTTTGTTCTTCTGCCAGCAGATTGACTCCAGAGCTGATGAATGTCAGATGGACATGAAGAGCAGCCAGAAACTCCTGAACACTCAGATGGACGAAGCAGAAGACCTTGTCCTGGTACAATCCACTCTCCTCTTTAAAGATCTGTGTGAACACTCCTGAGTACACTGAGGCTGCTCTGATATCGATGCCACACTCTGTCAGGTCTGATTCATAGAAGATCAGGTTGCCTTTCTGCAGCTGCTCAAAAGCCAGTTTTCCCAGAGACTCAATCATCTTCCTGCTCTCTGGACTCCAGTGTGGATCAGTCTCAGCTCCTCCATCATACTTGATCTTCTTCACTTTGGACTGAACCACCAAGAAGTGGATGTACATCTCAGTCAGGGTCTTGGGCAGCTCTCCTCCCTCTCTGGTCTTCAACACATCCTCCAGAACTGTAGCAGTGATCCAGCAGAAGACTGGGATGTGGCACATGATGTGGACGCTTCGTGATGTTTTGATGTGGGAGATGATTCTGCTGGCCTGCTCCTGATCTCTGAACCTCTTCTTGAAGTAGTCCTCCTTCTGTGGGTCAGTGAACCCTCTGACCTCTGTCACCGTGTCAACACACTCAGGAGGGATCTGATTGGCTGCTGCAGGTCGTGAGGTTATCCAGAGGTGAGCAGAGGGAAGCAGTTTCCCCCTGATGAGGTTTGTCAGCAGCACATCCACTGAGGTGGACTCTGTAACATCAGTCAGGATCTCAGTGTTGTGGAAGTCCAGAGGAAGTCGACACTCATCCAGACCGTCAAAGATGAACACAACCTGGAACTCTTCAAACCTGCAGATTCCTGCTTCTTTGGTTTCAGTAAAGAAGTGATGAACAAGTTCCACCAAGCTGTACTTTTTCTCTTTCAGCACATTCAGCTCTCTGAAAGTGAATGGAAATGTGAACTGTATGTCCTGGTTGGCTTTGTCTTCAGCCCAGTCCAGAGTGAACTTCTGTGTTAAGACTGTTTTCCCAATGCCAGCCACTCCCTTTGTCATCACTGTTCTGATTGGTTCATCTCTTCCAGGTGAGGCTTTAAAGATGTCTTCTTGTCTGATTGTTGTTTCTGGCCTGTCTGGTTTCCTGGATGCTGTTTCAATCTGTCTGATTTCATGTTCATCATTGACCTCTGCAGTCCCTCCCTCTGTGATGTAGAGCTCTGTGTAGATCTGGTTCAGAAGGGTTGGGTTTCCTGCTTTAGCAATCCCCTCAAACACACACTGGAACTTCTTCTTCAGATTGGATTTAAGTTCACGCTGACAAACTCCACCAAAATGTTCTCAATGAAGACAGAAAATATGACCATTAAGTGATTGATAAACAAAATATGACAATTTTATTCCCCTAAAGCAGAAAAATGATCTGCTCAGATAGAAAATATCTATTTTGTTTCTCACTGAGACCAAAAGTTATGGAGCTAACTTATTGCCACCAGTCATTTCAATTAGGGGAAGTGGTTGTTGCCCACATCCAAGAGCACAGATTTTGCTCTTCCGCATTTCACTGTGTTAAACTGCGGGTGGCAAACACCTGGGGGCAGCCGCTATTTAAAACACGTTTTCTGTGAACCCTTGTGCAGGCAGGTGGCGGTGTGAAACCTTCCTTTAAGCAATACATCACAAATTGCCATAACATTTACATTTATAAACTACTGAAGTTAGCAACACATCAGTCAGAAGAAAAGGAGTGGTCTCTCTTTCTATATTTATAAAAATTTGATTCTTTTCAAGATTTTAAATACAATGAATTATCATGACATTGTTATACATTTTAATTTGTGAGTTGTGACCAATTTTGGCTTTAAAGAATGAGTATGTGAATATCTTTTGGTCCGTCTGTTGAGACATCAGTAAATGTCTCATTTATCCAGCGAGTTAAATCTTTAGAGAAATCCTCTTACTGCTCTGCAGACGGTCAGCCAGCTCCTCCTGCTTCATTCTCCTCAGGAAGAGCACTGTGATCTTTAGAAATGCCTCTCTGCTTCTCCTCCTCTGCTCTTCATCCTCACCATCCAACACCTCCTCATCCTCCCTCTGACTCTCTGAGCATTCTGGGTAATCTGAACTCAGAACCTTCTGGATCTTCTTCAGCTCGTTCTTCACAAAAGTGACAATGTTGTCCTCCAGCAGCTGGAACAGAATATTATATGAATGACTCAATCAAAGTCAAATCATGGAAGCAAACATCAGATCCATGTTGGACAGACTGACAATCCACTGGTCTAAAAAGTGCAGCATGGAGATTATTGTGAACACAATAGATTTAAAAGTAGTTGTTGTCCATGTACAGACCATAAATATGGAGTCCAGGTGTGTTTGATGCTGCTGGGCAGACTGACCACTGGGAACCTCTGAGCTCTCCTGGTCCACTCTGTGGAGGAATCATGAAGAATGAGCTCACATTATGTCTGTCCACACAGAGACAAACACAAGGTAAAGGTCCATGAAGTGATATTTGGATGTGAACAGTGAATCTGATGACTCCCTGTAGTGGTAAAGGTTTACTAGTCCTGCTGATCCCACTGAGAATCAACAGCTCAGTTTGGTTCAGTCCCAACAGCTCTCACCAACCCCTCCATATAGCTCTCCCTCCCTCACTGTACACTGCTGAAGTGCCCTGGAGCAAGGCACCTAGAGCCTCCAGCTGCTCCAGTGGAGCTGCTCAGTGTCTGCTTGTATCAGACTGGTTGTACTGGGCAGCTCCCAGTGTGAATGTGTTTGACTGTGTGAGTGTGAGGCAGCTGCTGCTGAAAGAGTGTTGGTGCTCAGAGAACTTCATCTGAGTCAGTAAAGGTTGAAAAACTGGAGATTTCACAACTGAGAGTCTGATAAAAACACATCATTTTATTTTCATCATCAGTTTGAAATCCTCACCTTTGATCAACAGAGTGGCGGCCATCTTTGAACTCTATAGGAAGACCCATAGAGCGATCACTCTTCATGGACACACAGCTGGGTTCAGGTTTTTTCCTCCTGATAGAAAAACAGGATCAGTTCTGCACTGCACCCACAACACACTGAGACAGAACCTGCCAGTGACTGAATACACCGACTGTACACAGTGTATTTGTACCCAGGGAGTTCTTGGTTGGGATTTCTATAAAGTCAGTGTTTGATTTAGACATGTTTCACTGTGTATTTTAAAGCTGTATTCAGTGCAGTGTGCAGTATAGGCGGGGAAATGATGGAGTGGAGTGACCATATCGGTCCAATTAGGATAAAAAGAGGAACAGACGTGGTGTCAAAGCAGTGAGTTTCTATAAACTGCTGCAACTATTTGTTCACTGTGAAACTGAGGCTGTTGTAAATTCAGCTGATCAGACACAAACCATCCCTGTCCATTAATAGACATTTTAAAACATTTAAAAAGAGAGATTTCACAACGGAGAGTCTGATAAAAATACATATTTTTATTTTCACCATCAGTTTGAAATCCTCACCTTTGATCAACAGAGTCTTCTTTGAAGTTTAAAGGATTAACCATAGAGTGATCACTTTTCATGGACACACAGCTGGGTTCAGGTTCAGGACAGTCTGGTCTCTGATGGATCCTGATAGAAAGACATTCATTAAAGCTCACATATTCAGAAACCTTGTCACTGAATCAAAGACTTTGTGAAATGATGTATAATTTGAAATGTTTGAATACAGGGCTGGACAATAAGAACAATGTCTTCAATTACTGACATTATGGACGTGTTACTGAACACAATTTACTGATGTCACACACTTCAACACACTGTCTGAATTCCATATAATTAAAGTGAGAGCAGCTACAGCATCTAAGCAGTGAGCAATCAGCTCCCAGTCCAGTCCAGAAGAGCAGAATGTGGAACTGGTCAGACTGGAATGAATCAGGACAAACATCAGCAGTGAGCAACATGAGGAAGGAAATCTGCTCTGATTGATTCAAACACACGTTACTGTTACATTTCTCATTATGAAGCTGAATGTGACAGTTTCTCTTGATACTGATTTGAGATCAGATTGTTCAGCCCTGTTTGAATACTGACAACTACATACTTTAGCTCAGATAAATGTCTTTGTTCCAAATGGAGAATCAAAGCCTTTGTGACATGGAGAAGAGTCATGGGCAGTTAGAGATCCTCATCTCACCTCTGAGCTTTGGTCCTTGTGTCATGTTCACCACACAGAGTGCTTTTAGAGGGAGGGACTCCCTCCTCTCTGTCCTCACACTGATTCATAGCAGAGCCCACACCTTCACACAGACACAGCAACCTGCTGGGAGAGATCACACATTATTTCCCATCATTCCTCTCAGTCACATGACAAACACACACAGCTCTGATTGGAGGGATTAGTTGACTCGCAGCAACGTGAACTGTGAAATGTTGAGTCCCAAAGTTTTATGTTAGAAATATACAGTGTGGGTCCCCAGCATTTAGGAACTGACAGATTCCAACTCAATTATCATTATTTGCATTAATAAGCATGTATGTATGTCTGTGTGGAGAATATTTCAACAGATACTATAGCAGTGGTTTTAGGAGTTGCTGAGGATGATGGATCAAATTCTGACATTTACAAAATACAAAATTGCACTTTAATTTTAACTCCAGGTTCACTGATTTTGAGGTTATTTATATGAATAATACATTGGAACTGCAATTTAAGAAGCTCTTTGTCATTGATGTTCAGATATTTTTTCAAATTTCTGCTGGTGTTCTTTTGCTGTGCAGCATTTTCTCATTGACCTGTGTCTCTGCAGCTGTGGTTATGTATTAAGCAAATAAATAATCTCAAAATTGACGAAGAAATACTCAAAAATCAGCCTACTGGGAGATGAAATATTGCCACAGATGTCAAAAATGTATTCATCATCCTCAATAACCCCCAAAAAACACTCCTTTATTGTTCGAATCAGCCAAACAATTACTGACATTTTGTCCATATTGCTGAATATTAATGCTAATTATGCTAATTGACCAACAAATGCAAGTTAGCATCTGTCAGTGTGTAAATGCTGGAGATACAGACTGTATATTTCTAACACACAATAGGACAATAGGACTCTACTGGCTGATATAAACGGCTCATTCAGCTCAATATTAAATCCACTCATCTGACAGTTTCCATGGCAGAGTAGAAATGTTGTTGGCACTTTGAGCTGCAGTATCTAAGAAATGACATTCACAATGCTCTTTAGTCTGTGGGGTTGGTTGAAGACTAGAGGAATACACTTCATGTTGCTGTTTCACTTCTATTTGACCGACTTTGAAAAGCTCCTCAACAGTTGAAATGTTGCTCTTTTTCCAAGTCTACTATATCCAGTCAGAGCATGCAGTGGCAGCTAGTCCAATAATCCAAAATCAATCCTGTTACCTTGGCAGCTGCTGCTGAATTCACATCCACATCAGCTCCCAGAGACTTTCTACCTTCATCTGTAGAGGAAACACTGAGAGCAGAGCTGAAAGCATCAGTCCAATCACTGATCAGCACTGAGAACTCATCATCACTCATTCATCCTTTACATCAGTGGTTCCCAACCTTGTTCTATCACTGAGTAAACTGACGACCCCTGACTGAGGGACATATTTTATACATATTTCATATTATATCCAAAACTGTACAATCAACCCAAATATTGAACTCAGTAACTGCAAGAAGTTGAAGTTGATTCAGATTAATTCTGAGCAGATTATTTCCTGTTGAGGGAACTTTTTATACAGTTTGTCTGTGTTATGTATCTTTTATCATTTTTAACAATCATAAATACTTAATATGCTTCTTTTTGGACAAATTCACTGTTTTCTTGTCCCTGATGACAGTTTACTTTACATTGGCTTGTCTTCACAGAAGTGACCCAGATGCTGAGATATAGGCCGACCTACAGACCCCCCATGAAGCTTTGGAGACCACTAGTGGGGGTCTCGACCCTCAGGTTGGGAACCACTGATTTACATCATTTCTGCTGTAAAACTATCAGCTGCTTCTCCACTGATTGGCTGCTTCTCTCTGTTTCCTCTCAGTGTCAGTTGAATCCCTTTGGCTTGTTGGACTGTTGCTCAGACTAAAGAAGCAGTTAGAAAACATGACTGTGAACTCTGGGAACTACTGATGGCCTTTTCTCATCACTGTCACACATTGCAAACTAATCAATACATGGATCAATAGTGGTTTGTTATTGGCCAGAGGAGATGCTGCTTGTTCTCATTGGTCAGTGTTGAGGAAGAATGAGAGCAGAAAGCTGCCATCAGCTGCTCTACTTCTACTATCAGTCCACTAGATGGCCTCATGGAGCTGCATTTATCTGACAGCTTTACTTCCTGCTTACTTTTCAAACATGGGATCAGTTTATAAAATAGAATTCATTATTTTACATTCAAGCAGCCAAAAGTATTTGAAGTAGTTCATATTGGCTCCACCTGCAGCAACTCCAACATTAAAGTACTGATGAGGAAACTCTTCCTCCATGTTGGTTCTCAGTTGACTGTTAGTAGAGTTTTCTGCTCTTTCTACTGAACTAAACTAACAAGATGAACAAACAGTGAAAAGTGTCTCTTACTAACCTTCACATGGACAGAAGAAGAAGCTGCGACACGACGAGCTCACAAAGTGAAAGTTACCTGTGGACAGGGAGTGGCTGTGCCGTCAAAGTTGTCGGGGCAGGTGTCAGGTGTGGGGGATGGAAGTAGGGTGGCAACTTCCTTCACATCAAAAAGGAGGACACTTTGCATACACGGGGACACGCAAGCAGATATTTGTTTGGTATGATCCGGTTTTAAATGTTAATGTTTTTCCAGCAGATTACATAAAGGTGCATACACATACCACATAGCTAATAATAAATATACAAGATACAGCTTATTACAACGTGCCCTTCCAATTCAGATTACATAGGTCTAATAAACATCATACAGAAACTGTTCTTAATGATTTTATCTGGGGATAAAGGGCTTTGTCTATCTACATATGAGTATGAGCATTTTCAGAATTTCAGTCCAACAACCGACGTTAGCTCACATTACGTTCTCTGTCTGCATCTCATACTGGACACAGAGTCAGAGCTGAGTTGGATTTATTTTATTTTTTCTACAACATAACAATGAACGGAGATCACCAACACAGTCCACCACTAGCAGAAATTATACAGTCAATAGTTCCTGCCACTTTCTGGACAAACAGGACCTCCATGAACCAAACACCATCCAAAACCAGATGTCCCAGAACCTCCAAACTGTGTTCAAACTTTAACTAATACACTCAAATAATCAATAATAACATATCTGATACTGAAGAAGGGTTTAATACAGAAAGACATACAGGATGACAAGATAAACAGATTAATTAGAGCTCAGAGGTGTTTCAGTTGGACGCCGAATTCATCTTCCCGTCTCTAAACCCCAGATTTAACAGAAAAACTTGTGTTTTGATGAGTTGTATTAATCTGCAGACTCTAATGTACAGCATGCTGTCAATGTTCAGACTATAACAGCACCCTCCTCCATACACTGCTCATAGGCTGACACCTGCTGGTGACTTTATGGAACTGCACGGAGGTCTTCTTTGTAAATTGTAATATTGACT